TGTGTGTGTGTGTGTGTGTGTGTGTGTGTGTGTGTGTGTGTGTGTGTTGCGCGATTATTCTTACATTGTGGACCAATTTAGATGATTCTATTTTTGTTGGAAAGGGGGTACCTCAGACGTGGTTACAATCAAATTTTAAGAAAATATTCCACCTCTGAGGGTGGCAAACTATGGGATAAATCGGGTTTATTGGATTTCGTGCACTTTCCATTAACGAATTTAAATAAAAACTTTTCAAGTTGATTTTTTTTAATAAAAAAGTTATAATTTTATTATTAATAATACAAAGATCAAACATTGAGGAAAAAATCCTAAAAATAATGTTCTTGGTGTTCTATCTTTACATGAATCGTTTTATAAAACTAGTGGATTAATTTCACAAAAATAATTGAAAATCGTGACATTAAAAAAAACTGAAAAATTAGTTATAATTTATTATTAAAAATTAGCTATATTTATTTTTTAATAGCAGAAGAGCTCCTTGTAAAAGAGTGCGCCCAGCGTGGTACTGCCACCTTGCCTATTTCTGTGTTACGGTTTTGAAGGGTAAGGGTGCTGGTGAAATTACAGGCACGTGGGACTTGTCAACTTATGTCTCCGGATGACCGGCGCAGACGACCCTCAGATCTTTGCGATTTAAAGCTCTAAATGGCACTGGCGCACGACTTGTTCTTCCCGTCACTTGATATTATAAAAATAAAAATTTACTATAGACACTTCCAAGAAAAGTTGTTCTTCTACTCACTTGATAACATAAAGAAAGGAAATGAAGCCTACATTCTGAGGTTCAACTTGTAACTTGGCATAATTGAGGTCAAAGGTCATCCACCATGTTATGTCTATGGGTAAAATATTAAATTTAATAATTTTACGCTCGCATATGTGCAGAGCTGTGAAAAAAGAAACATAAGAAAAAAGTGCAGCAGCGGCTGGAAGTCGATTCGGTTTTACGCTTGTAATTAATGCTGGCATAACTTATGTAATGTTTTAGTACAAATTATTTTATTTCCTACATATGCTGACATGGCATTTTAAATTGTAAAGATGATCCACCAAAAATTCATCCAGGAAAGTACTGCCACCTTACCTATTTCTGCCACCAAGCGGTAATGTGAACATTACCGAAATTACAGGCGCCTGGGACTAGTCAACTTATGTCTCAGGGTGACGGGCAAGCATGTCACTTACCACCAGGTGCATGACGTTTTGGTCCCGTCACTCGGTATCATAAAAAAAACATTATTTTTATTATTCAGTTATTTATTTTAGATTCCCTTTTTCCATGGCCTAAAAGATTTTAATTTAACGGGTGAGGTGGTATTTTATGCCACAGCCAGCAGGGGTCAGGGACTCGCGTTCAAGAAACGGCAAATGGTGCCGTATCGTGCAATACAGACATTAGCTCTCTTTACACAGTCACTCTATGGCGCGTGATATGGAGCGTACGGGATTGTGCGCGGGAAGGTCTGCACGCGTAATCGTGGGCGATTACATGTTTGAAATTTTTTAAGTTAGTTCTTTCGTAGACCGCAGGATAGACCGCGTGAAACTGGCGTGTATTGGAGTGCGCGATTGATGAGCGCAATCCGCGGTCTTTCCCTTTTCCTTCTAACGTCTTTACACGCGCGCTTAAACGGCTGCTGTATCACGGGCGATAGAGTGTCTGTCTAAAGCCTATTATTGAAATCCAACTCCTCAAATGCGAGTGTGGCGGAATAAACCCGTTTACGGACAAAACAATTGGGATTATTTTAGTGAAGGCCACTCCCCAGAACACGTCGGCGATCTCGTGAGCGAGACACGTCCGATGTTTTTTGTTTTCGGTTTTCACAATACCCTTATCATGTGTGGTGGTAACGCCCCCACGATATACCCTAAATAAATTAAAATTATTTTGGATGTCTATTTTAGATTCCCGGTTCTCTCGTGATCTAAAAGAGACAGTTTCAGTAAAAACATTCCACTTTATTGAGATGTCGTTTACTTTGTGACATTGTATCCCTTTAAAGTGGTGTATGGCGGTCATGTTTTATCTCAGCTTTTGCATGTTCCTGTTAAAATGTTAGTGATTTTAGTATACGGTCTTTCTAGGACTGATGGTCACTACCTAATCTCCGCGGCAATTTTTATTTTTTATTATTTAAATAATATTCAAGTATAATAATATTACATGGTAATTATTAAATAATATTTCACGATACAATACTCAAATATTAAATAATATTGCACTATAAAAGAATCAAACACTTAAATAATAAAAATTGCCACGGAAATTAGGTTAATAAATATATGCTGACATGACATTTTAAATTGTAAAGATGATCCACCAAGAATTCATCCAGGAAAGTACTGCCACCTTACCTATTTCTACCACCAAGTGGTAATGTGAACATTACCGAAATTACAGGCTCTTGGAACTAGTCAACTTATGTCTCAGGGTGACGGGCAGGCATGTCACTTACCACCAGGAGCATGACGTTTTTGTCCCGTCACTCGGTATCATAAAAAAAACATTATTTTTATTATTCAGTTATTTATTTTAGATTCCCTTTTTCCATGGCCTAAAAGATTTATAGTGCATGGTAATTATTAAATAATATTTCACGATACAATACTCAAATATTAAATAATATTGCACTATAAAAAAATCAAACACTTAAATAATAAAAATTGCCACGGAAATTAGATTAATAAACCAATTTTAATAGCATATTTGCTTGCAAGGTCCTTAATCCTATTACTTTTGTTTTAGCAATTAATTTTGGTATATTTAGTAGCGGTAGAGCTCCTTGTGAAAGAATTGGTCCAGGGAAATACTGCCATTTTACCTATTTCTGCCGTCAAGCACTAAGTAATGTGAGCATTACTGTTTTCCGGTTTCGGAGAGTAAGAGTATATGTGATGGGCGCAGTGGTAGTGCCCCTCAGATCCTTGCGATTTAAAGCTCTGAGTGGCACTGTAATTGTTGTGGACAGGCGTGTCGCTTACCATCAGGCGCACAACTTGTTCGTCCCGTCACTTGACGTTATAAACGAAAAATCGTTTAGTATTATCGCAAGTTGCAATGTTCTGATGCTGAATCAGCTGATGTCCTCATCAGCTTACATGCATCCACTGCTGGTCATAAGTCTTGAGCACCCCAACTCTCCCGGTCCTGGTGCTCTAGTTCTCCGTTTGACGTCAGTCCAAAGCAATGACTGTCAATAAGTAATATTCGACCAAATTAAAAAAACGCCAGATCCCAAAAAACGTATCATCTTGCCCCGGTTACAACATTCAGGTTACAAGTTTGAATTCCAAAGCAAATGCATTCTATTTTCTGAATAATTTTACAGAAGTTTGTAAATGTTATACGGAAGGAAATATTGAATATTCGAACTGCTCGGCCACGTTCATTCAAATGTGCCGCCAAGCAGCGACTTGAGCATTACTGCGTTCCGGTTTTGAAAAGTAAGGGTGCTTGTGATACTACAGGCCCATGGGACTTGTTAACTTAATATCTCAGGCGGACGTGTGGCAATGCCCCTTGGATTTTTGCGAGGTAAAGCTCTGGGTAGCATTAACAACTGTTAAGCCAGTCGCTTACCACCAGACGCATGACTTGGTCGTCACCTTAAAAAATAATACTTTCAACATTTGAACAAGATCGAATACAATATTTTTCGAACGAACGTCGTCCCAGCAAACCGTGCCAGACGCTATGCCAACTAGCGGGCTTTACGAATTTTTCTATGTGCTTCTTGCAGATCTTTGTTTGTGATTTTTAACGACTTTTTTCGTAGCGCCATCTGTGAGAAATCTATTACTCCATTCAGCCATGTACCTATACAGCTACCAGCCGCTGACTGGAGATATTGCTGTACTAATTATTAATAATTGAATATCATGTTGGTCAAACAAGTGACAGTCAAGAAAATACATTTTTTTTTCTCAAAAATTTTTCATCGATTTGAATAGCATTGAAATTTTATTTTAAACCCCACGATTTATGATTTTAGTACAAAATATTGTGGCTTATGACACGAATGCAATAACTTTTGCATAAAAGCAGGACTATGACATACTACGTTGAAGTGAATAGCCAATCAATACTGACTCGATTTGCGGTGTTCTGCTTTGCCCGTTGACCTGACAAAGGGACTTTGCGAACCAATATGCATCTGACAAAAGTTTATTGAACCATTTTGCAAAAGAGAAGAAATTAGTTTAGCTGTCAGGATTGTGTGGAAGTTTCAGATGAATTTTTTATCGTGAATTTAAAACCATTGCACGGGAGTAAAGATATTAAACTAATGCAATAAAAAATTAAGGTTACTTTTGTAACACACTTGGTTTGATGAAAAATATAACATAGATTGATTATTATTTTATCTTTTATTGGCCTAAGATTATCCCCCTCTAGAAAGCGTTTAGTCGCAGTAGAACAAGGAACTCCAAGCGTTCCGGTTTTTAAGTGTAAGGGTTTTGGTGAATAGACACATGGGACTTGGCAACGTATGTCTCAGTGACGTGACCTCACTGGCAGTGCCCCTCAGATCATTGTGATTTAAAGCACCGAGTGGCACTGCAACTGTTATGGACTGGCGTGTCGCTTACCACCAGGCGTGTCGCTTACCACTAGGCGCACGATTTGTTACTCTAGTTACTTGGCATCATAAAAAACAAGTATAATAATTTGATAAAAAATTAAGACGTAAATCATTGAATTTCATCATCATCTATAGACAGGTTCTTGTCGGTGTAGCTTCTTCTTATTTGGACTGTCCATAGCCAGTTTCTTGACCTTTATTTTACTCGTTCACTGTATGCTGTACTTGATCTTTTTCTCTTTCTTTTTCATTCTATCCTCCCCTCAACTACAAGTTTTATCATTTCGTCACTACGTTCTAGATATTCTTCTGTTTTCTACTGTCCTCAAAGGACTTCTCATTTAGAAATTTACTCAATATTTAAGTTTTAACTTCTAATAAAATTATTGATTGAATTTCACGGGATGATCAACAAGAAAAACCGGGATACAAAGTTATTATACAGCCCATTATAGCACATAATTTAATAACATTATGATGAATTTATAATGTTTCAAAAGGCTTTTCATCGAATTCATAGCGTAATTAATTAAATGGACAACGGACAATGCAAACGTGCCTGAAGCAATATCCTGAAAAGGGCTGTGAAACTTCATGGATTTGTTTGGTTAAACGATTTTAGTGCGAAATTAAACTTTATTGTTAAATGGAAAAGAACATGTATGGAATGAGTTTTGTTTGTAACTGAATATTCAATATGTATATTTTAATGTATATGTTTATTTTAATTGATGCTAACAAATTATCAATATGGACACTTCGATAGCTTCAATAGGAATGCTATAACGAAAAACTAATGTATACTCACACACGTCTTTGTATTCACATCGTGTAGGAACTCCAAGAGCCTTTACATTGGTGACATCAAAAAAGGACGTTCTCATTTCGACTGTAGCTGTAGTAGATCGATGGCACTGAGGTAAAGTTATGTTACAGAATTTTGTTTTTATTATGCCAAGTGACAGGGCGAACAAGTGGTGCGACTGGGGGTAAGCGACACGTCTGCCCATAACAGTCCCTATCTACCAACCCGGTCGGTCGATAGGGATATCGACCGACCGGGAGAGATAGGGTATTTCGTAGAGACTACGGAGCTCGCCGACGAGACAAAGATACAGCGGGCGTCCGGGCCAAGCCCTCAGCCAGTCGGCGGATACCACTTCACGGGCGAACCCGGACTTGAGTAAGGACTCGCTGCGGTTTGTGGTGAGCTGCAGATACGGACATGTTCGTCTGCATCGGCGACGTGTAGCCAGCGCGTCTGTCTCGTGCGCAGCTAGCGCGTTCTAGTTAGCGTTAATGCACTTTTTCATACGAATGAATCAATTTTGAAAACGTTTCTGCCACTCCTCCGTGACAATCTCTGAAACATATTTTTCATACTCCTCGACAGCCTCTTCAGGTGATGAATATCATTCACCGCGTAACTGTTTCTTAATTTTTACGATATAAATAAAAGTCACAAGGTGTCAGGTCGAGCCTGTACGCGGTATGGCTCATAAGGTCAACGTTGTTCACCTTCAAAAATTCATTTGTCTATCTGGCCGTGTGAGAACTGTCATTATCGTGGTGCAAGATGATACTGCGTTTACTGCTATTTTTACGGAGTTCCAATTACTTCCGGCAAACAAATAGTCGTGTACCAATCACTATTCACGGTACAACGATTTTCCAAAGCAACAGTAGCTACGTGTCCAGTTTTATTAAAAAAAGAAGCAATCATCCGCTTAGAGGCACTTAGCACGCGCGCCACTTTGGTTGGTTTCGGCTCATCTCGAAAGACCCATACGCTCGATTGCTGCTATGTTTTGGGATCGTAACTATAAATCCATGTTTCGTCACCTGTTACTATGTCCCACACCAAATTTGACGCCCCTTCGTTGAATCTGGTAAGCATGGCATTGCACCAAGTGACGCGATCCGTTTTTTGAGCCTCAGTCAAATTGTGTGCATGGGATCCACCGAGAGCCCAGCTTTTTCACACCCAAATGTTTGTGGAGTATTGATTCATGCCTATGCCTAAAGATGCCCGAATCTCATGGTAGTCACACCCCTTTGTTTTGATTATACGGCGCACAACATAGATGTTTTTGTTGTTCACAGCAGTGGACGGGTGACCATCATGAAATTCGTTACTGAGATTCACACGACCGCGTTTGAATTCGGCAAATCAGCTATAAATAGTCGTCTTGCATGGTGCTTCATTGTCAAAAGCAGTTTGAAGCCAAGCGAAGCTCCGCTGAGCTGTTAAATTACACTTAAAGTCGTAGAAAATCATACTATGAAAATTTTCACGAGTTAAATCCATGGTGATGTAGACAACCAATTACTAAAATGACGCCATAATGTGAAAACAAGTTAAAGATGAAACAAACTGTATTCTACAGCCAAATAGTTCCATTTTCAAATGTTGTAATTACTTTTTAAATATTGTTTATGTAAGTGGCCAGTTCCGGAAACTTATAGTGTTAAAAGATCACGTCACAGTATCGACATCGCCCTCATACTCTCGTTACGTCACTATACCAACGTAAACTCAGCGCCGCAGCCCGCAACACTGTCGTTCAGTTTGTGGCCTAACCTTTCAAATCCGGGACACAATAATGCTTACATTACTGCTTGGCGGCCGAAATAGGTAAAGTGGCAGCAATTCCCTGGATGACCTCTTTCACAAGGAGAGAAATTACAATTATGGATTTTAATAACGTCATCACAGGTTCATTCCGCCGCCCTGGTTCATTTTAGATTCGAGACACCACACGTTTTCCAAGAGTTGTGAACTGTCGTTAACACGTAGTCTTCGTCATGACGTGTGTCGTCATCGTTAGCAGAAGGCATTGCTATTAATTATTATTACTAGTTACACACATGAACTTAGAAATTAAAATCATAGACATACGGACTTGGAGCCGCCGACTTCAATTGAGTAGCAACCCACATTTTCTCTTTTCCCAGCGGGTACCGTTGTAATTACATATGAAGGGAAATATAAAAGGCAATTAGTATATTGGTGAAGCTATGGAGGGAAATATAGAGGCAATTTGTATATTGGTGAACCTGGCGTAAGCAATAATGATTTTTCAGAGTACTGATAATTAGACTTCAAGTTGCGTGACATTATCATATCAAGTGTATTAGTATCTATAACCGCTCACGCGATTCATGCGTTTCTGGAAGCATACCAGACCTAGAGGTGCCGGTGATGATTTTATACCGATTTATCGGATATCGAAGTTATAACAGATAAAAGAATTCATACTAATTGCTATTTCGGTAACTACTCTAGCAAAAAGTTTATTAGTATAGTTTATAAACATTTATATTCAGGGTAAACTTAAAAAACGCTACTTACGGTATGTTTTCAATAAAAAAACACCGAAATCACCAGCCCAAACAATAACACACACGATTGTCGTGACGTATTTTTGAAGTTGTTTATTTTTTTAAATGACAGACCCAGGCATTAAAAACTTTATGGTTTGCTAGAGTAGTTACCGAAATAGAAATTAATATTAGTTATTTTACCTGTTATAACTTCGATATCCGATAAATCGGTATAAAATCATCACCGGCACCTCTAGGTGTGGTATGCGTCTACGCCTGCATGTATCGCGTGAGCGGTTATATTTGTTCTTAAATGCATTCTGCTATTTAATTATTTATGTTGCTACATATATATTAATTATTTATCCTCGTAATAATTACAATATATAACGCAATTTTCCGTGCTTATTTTTTTCTTTGTATTTTTTGTAAATTGTTTGCTGGTCAACACCAGCTCTGCGGGCTTACTGAAAACCAGCGCTGTGGTAGGACACTGCAGCATATGCTGAGACAAGTCCTGTGTTGGCATGACGCTACAACACAGACTATACTATACCTCAACTTTGCCTATAAAAACTAGTTTTGAGTGTAATTTTATGTTTAATAATTATTTGTATGTAAATTGTTTTAGTGTGGTTTTGCGTTGTTGTATTCATGCATTGACTTACAAATAAATGGACGACGGGTCTAATACAAAAACCACGAAAAAAATGTCCCAAGTCAACCTATTTAAACGTAGTGACATGTAAAGGAATATGAAAAAGCTAAAACGTTGAATTTAAATTGTAATGTCATCGCAGTACTGTCTAATTTTGCTTGCTTCTCTGTCAGAAGAACAAACGAAGACTACAGCGTGAATGACGCTCTGTATACTATTTTAACGCCCTATAAGTTCGGACACTTTTTAGCGCGGACCCGACGTCCATATAATTGTAAGTCAATGTATTCATGCCAATAAAAAGAAGTCTATGTCAATATCATGATTTTGTAGTGGTTCAAATGAAGAATGTGCGAGTGCGATTTTGGTGACATCGGTTCTAATAGTAATCAAGGCTTAAAGCACTTCCATTGTTTTTTTCTTCCGTAATTACGACCTTGTTTGCAGTTAAGGTTATTTATCTTTTTAACAAATTTGAAAGAACTTCGTTCCACCAATATAAAGATTATAGGAACGCTTCTAACTGTTTTTACTGTCGACCCAATTTTGATTTCAACAGAGAATCAATTTCATCCATTAAAGCATTTCTATTTGCACTATTCATTTGAGTCGTATTCTCGGTATTTATTTAACTTATTTGTTTTAGTTGCACTGAAAAAGGATCCAGTGATAATCGGCATACCAGGCAGCGTACAGCTCGGCGAAGATGTCACACTCAATTGCTCAACCCATTACGCCATGCCGCCGGCAAACATTGTATGGTACATCGATGGGAAACCTGAAAAGGTAACTGATGGAGAATTAACAACAAAACTTTATGTCACGGACAAAGCTTTTAGATAAAATGAAATGTCACACGTAATTACGCCTGATCGTGGTCTGTTAAAACACACAACAAGTACCATAAATACTAATGAATAAAATAATAATAAATACGCACACACTCATAGCCCCGCCCCAGTGAAATCATGTATCGCGGATGTCATGGACATGCACATAGACAACTACACAAATACATCCATTCTCACAAGAGCAATAAATGTCGGCCATACAAATATTTCTCCGAGCCCGGGAAACGAACTCAGGACCTCGACGTGGTAACCTGCATGATAACCGTTCGGCCATGCAGGCAGTGCTGCTAAATGCTGCCATCGATGAAATAATGTTCGCTTTGTCTCCAATCTTCGCTTAAAAGCATGGTACAGGGTCACTATAGAAAATTTAATGGCTAATAATATTCATGGACATCGAAACAGCCGTAACGTTAACTTAAGAAATAATCTATAAAATTCCGTAACATTAAATCTTGTCTATTTTTACTAAAGCTTCTGACAATAACAATCTTCTTTAACATACATAGTGTTAGGTTTCACGTAGTTTAGTTAAAACTACGTATATTAAAATAATAAAATGCACGACGTTGGAATGAGTATATTGATAATGGTTATTTTTTCCTGTAACAGTTAGAGCCCTGGATGTCAGATAACACGGAAGTGTCAGCCCCGGACTACGACGGGCTTCGTGCGAGTTGGAGATTGCTTCGACTAAAGGTAAACGAGAACCGTGAAATATACGGATTCTATTCATGAAGATTCACATTGCATAAAAATCCAATCAAGTAATAATAGCAATAATAATAGTAAGGCACACACTCATAGCCCGGGAAACCTTGTATCACGGGTAGCATAGACACACATATATAGATAACCACAAATTACATCCAAACTAACGAGAGACCTAAATGTAGGCTCTACTAATATTTATCCCGGCTCGGGAATCGACCTCTGCGTGGCAGACCAGCATGGTAATCGTTCGGCTATCAAGTAACCAGTTTATGAAAATGTAAAGGTTACGTTAAAGAGATCGGCAGTTAAACAAATTAATGTTGGTTGCGTAATCTGAGATAAATTTCTAATGTTCGGCATTTAAAGAACTGCTGCAAAGGACTATTTTAGTGTTACTCTTCCAAATCTGCGATTTTTGGTATGACCTTGAGTTTTTTTGTTTTCAAAGGTGAATACAGCACGAGATTTCATGTCCCTGCGTTGTGAAGCCACTCAGCCGACGCGACCGCCGTATGTGAGGTCCACAAGCGCGAACCTCATCGTGGCGCGGACGCCGCACTTGTCTATGTTCACAGCTTTAGGTAAGAGAACTTGTTCCAAGTGAAGCAACTTGGAACTTTTGTACTGACCACCACTGAGTCGATGCGACACTCCCTTGTGAAGTGTCGCATCGACTTAAGAATGTTGACATGTAGATAATTAACGTTGAGAATTGAGAATAAAAGCAACGTCATGGGTAAAGAAAAGGATGTCACATGTCGGAAGCTCAACCAAAGCTCCTTGGAAATAGATGAAACCTTCAAAACGCTACGTCATTTATTACCCCAAGCTCTATTGGGAAATACATTTCTTACAACGACAATCAGCTCATAGAAATAAAATTTCATGGCGATTCATTTAATGAATTGAGCAGTTGACACTGATTCATTTTATGGCTTGCATTATTCTATGGAATTTGTGGACTAGTAAAAATTAAAGTAAATTATCTTGCTACTCCGCGAGTACAGAGTACTAAAAAAACCGACCTCAAAAGTACGTGGAATTACGTCTATTTGCCAAGTTTTATTGAAATATAGGGGATTTTAGTTCGCCACTATACAGGACTTGACACAGGAGATAATAAAAATCGGCGGTTCTCAGTACTCAAAGTATATTGAGAGAGAAAAACGCCTTGAATTGGAGAATAGCAAAACCCACCATTAAAATAATTGCTCCTTAAGTTTAATCTCTCCTAAAATTTAGTCTACTTCTAAAATTTAGGCGCTATTTATAAAAATGAATGTTCATGCGTGATCAGCCACCCTTAGAGGTGGATGATTTTCTTCAAAAGGAAATGGAACCACTATGGAGGTACCCTCTTTCCAATAAAAAATGAAACATGAAAATCGGTTCACAAATACCGGAGTTATCGCGTAACATACATACAAAAAAACTAACATACAGTCGAATTGAGAACCTTCTCTTTTTTTTAAAGTCGGTTAATAAAAGACGCATGATCCGAGTGAAGCTTCATACGTGACATTGTGTTTTGATTTGATCGAGTATTACTTACAAGAAATGTGTCAGGGCCATATTTGGAAACTACTAAACTACTTTAGGAAACTGAAGATATGAACTCTACCATCGTTGTATATTTACGAGGCCTGTGAAACAAAATCCAAGCAACTTTAATATAGTCAAAACTAGATATCCTAGAAACAAGGAATAAAATAGAAACACGACACAAACAACGCGCTAACGTGGAATTATACAGATGAACGATGTTCGTATTAGCGCTCCAATTATTTAATTACCGGATGCTGTTAAAGAATTAAATTTGTTAGTTACTCAATGTAACTACAATATTGATGATTTTTTACTTGATAACATAAAATGTAAAATTTAACTATTTGTATGTCATATTTTGCGGTTTTCTATTTTCCGGTTAAATTCCAATTGTTATTGTTTGTTTATGCTATTGTATTAATTTAATTTTAATCATACATCAAAAATGTAAAAATAATGGTGTAAAATATTCGCGTGGCAAGTTTATGGTGAAATGCGTACATTCAATCGTAATTTAATTAATTAAAATTAATTAATATAATATACTATAAGACCTGCAATGTTAACTACATTTTTCAGCAAAGGTACGTCTTAAAGTAATGCCTAAATTGACAAGACGTACTTCAGATTAGTGCAAGTGGACATAATTGTTTCGGACCAATGTCCGACGGAGAACGGATAGACCCCCTGATATGTGTTTTGCCTGTCTACGAGGCATCCTCAGGGGTTGTGGATGGTGCGACACTTGGCAGAAGATTCTTCCCAAACTAATTATGTTCCATTTTTATTAATATGTATTTCCGCAAAGTAACACCTGAATCTATTAGTTATTTCTAGACTACAAATATTTCTCTTCGCAGGTGGCAGTCCACATGCGGAAGCAACACGACTGATGTTGGCAATGTGCGGGTTACTACATATATTTTCTAAATACAGTGCCTTGAAAGTCTAGTTGAGGTGTGATTGCATGCTTAAGAATGATTGGGATGTTTCCACTTTGGTATAATAAAATAAAGTTTTTAATGTTTCTTTAATGGTTTCGTTTCTTTTGAGCTCAAGCTGCCAAAAATTTTGGAATTGTTCCATATTTTGGTATATAGTGACGGGTTCTTGTTCAGTAATGTTGGAGATTTCATAAATTACTGAATTCCGAATTCGGACCTAACGTGCTTATTGAAACGGAATGTTTGCGTACATTGCGAACATTCAAACAATGAGTAGATATTATCTTATTACTTAGTCCAATGGGAAATGGAAAAACTAAATATCCAGTTCGATAATTTAGACTGAATCAATTCCGATACGGAAGAATAAATACTAGTACAAAATAGAGTTGAATTTTAAAGCTTTGTTCGTATCCGTTGAACTGTGTAATTTCCGAGTGCGAAACCAATTGTTCCGAGAGACAATAAAAATATTGTTTTCATTTTCATAAATCGTGAATGGGTTAAAGGATTTTGTAGTTTATTAAAGTCTTTTATTTGGTGTTGTACTTCGATTAAACGTTTCATTTTACACTCTCCGATTTTGTTTCGTTATTGTTTATGGAGTTATTATTTGATTGCTTGATCTATTTGTTAATAGACCACAAGTATTATCAAGAGTTTAAGTTTAATTAATCAATGTGGTTCAATAATTAATAATTATTTAGTTCACGCTGTTTGACTCTTCTTCTTTTTTTCAACAGCTATCCATCCAAAACTGAGAGGTATTTTCCAATGTACTTCATTCGTTCCAGTCTTGTGCTTTCCTCATCCAATTTTTCCTCACCACTTTGACAAGGTTATCAATCCAGTTTCGATAGCCTGCCTAGACCTCTTTGGATTTCCACCCATGATATCTAAATGGTCATATTTATTACGGTTTCTGTAACCCTTTTTCTGTAAAATTCACATTACGTAACGCCCTTGTTATATAGATTATCTGTGAATTCAGTTTTACTATAACCTGCTTAATAGGCCAGTGCCTTCTCCATGCCTTAAAAGGGTGTATTGATTATCGCACTTACAGTATAATCTTTAGGCACTCGGAAAACGCTTCCAACAAAGATGGGCTCAGCTTCACAAACATATATATTATAAGAAAAAAAAAGCAAAACAAAAAAGAAAACATTATTCAAGGAAACAAAATTTTTGTAAGAAACATTTCTTTTGAAGCGTAAAAAGTGTTGGCGTTCTCAGGATTTTTTTCAAGTTTTACAAAAGCGAAATAAATTTTTAAATAATTTTCTTTGAAGATTGGAATAATGTTTATAAGATTACATGAAATTCAACTGCCAGGTTAGATAAACATTTTGGTAAAGCCATTTAAGCTCATTACAGAACATTGCGTACGTGCACAGTGGGCACCTCTGAATTAAATGTTCATTATTCATCTAGCTACGTGCAAATTTGATCACATAAAAAGGGCGATTATAGTTTTTTTAAGCTTGACAATCATTGAACAAAGACACAAGGAAATGATTCTTGATGGAACCTATTTGGGAAATAAAATTTTCTGAATCGGTGCCTGGTTGTTCTGGCCAATGTTTTCAGGGTTTCACTACGTGAGGAATGGTCTAGAATGATATCACGTTGCTGGAATGATTGTCAGGCTTACTTATTTTTTAAAGCAATGTGAAGGTACCGTCGAACTAAAACCGAAGTGGAAACATACCGTAAGCTCGTCAAAGTTAATATAAATTAATTATTCTATAAAATACATAGCAAGCACTGAATTTCGATGTTTTATGTCACATAAAATTTGTAATTGTATATTTACATATGTTGGTACGGGAGCTGGAAATGTCAAAATTAAAACGTATTGTGTAAAAAGTTAAAATTATATGATGTAAAATCATTGTTAATGTACATGTTGTATTAAGTGTTCTTTTCTGTTACCTAGATGTACATTTGATTATTTCTTTGATATTGTTGGAAATCTTTGGGATCATGAAGAGTTCTGAAAGAAAGTCTGGCACTTTCATACAACGATAGATAGACATTACGGGCACATGGGAGTTGTTAACTTATGTCTCTGAGTGACGGGCGCAGTGGCAGTAGCCCTCAAGTCGATGGTACGAGTACCTACATCTAGTCATTAATAAAACAAACAAACAGTGTTAAGAACTCACTAAAAAAAGACACAACTCCAAGTGCAAAAAGTGACATAGTTCAAAATCAAAAATATCAATCAACAACACAATCCATATTGATCAAATTAAAACAATTACTTGTCAAATGACCACTGTGAACATGTTAATTGTAAAACTGGGCGCTGATGGTTCAAAGGAAACATTTTTTCAGATTTAAGTCGCATTTATTTGTTTTATCAAACAAACCACTGTTTCGGGTCCTTTACAAGTGGCATGGTCACGGTTGACTGACAAAAAGTAGATTCATTTCAATGTATCTATGTAACTTTTGTAACGTAACTTCTCATATAATTGAATACCTTTCCTAGATCCTGAAATTTCCAATATTAGTATGTGATGCAACGAATTTAGTTACCTTACCTTTATTTTTTCGTATATTAGTAATTTTCTTTTCAACTGACTGCGTTTAATTGTCTTGATAATTTTTGGTTTAGTGTTTCATAGTCACTTCCTCGTTTGGAAAGGTTAGAGAGTGAATCTAACAACTTTTGCACATTTTTTGTTGCTTGACAACTTGTTGTATTTCTTCAATCTCAATGTGTCACCAGATTCTTCCTAGGAACCCTTAATAATAATGCTTGTGTTATTTGTAATTTCTATAATGTTTAAACATTGGTTCTTTTCTGATGGCACTTGTTTGGTCTGTATTTTAATAGGAATATTGTTTAAGTTCCATTTTAAACTACTCTTGTAGACTAAACCACTTATTATATCGAATAACCTATATACTCACTTCGTGTACCATATATTACTAACAAGATTAATTAAACCGATGTTTGATTAAATTATTATGTTTGTTTCTTCGACATAATATTAAATTGTTAGTGTTAATCAATTATTAACTGAGTTCGGATACGCTCGGAAATTCTCTAAATTTATTTTGCGTTGAAATTTTGATGTTAATTACGAATTTGTTACGTCTGGAGAGACTTGAAAAGCTTCGAAGAGTTAAACCGCGTCAAGATATTGACTTATAAAATCTTTCTAATTATAAATTACTTGAACAGTTCGGAAAACCGTTGTTTCTGCCCGAAAATGGTTTTAGAAAACTTTATTAATTGATTTCAGCTATCAGGTTTCAATATTGTTCGTTGATGACAGGATGTAATTATTTGTGAAGCTTTTTCAATACATTTCCCCTAATCTATCTTTTTTTAGCTGAGATATTCTTTCTACTTTATTATCTTTTTTTCCTTCATTATGACTTTGAAATCTATATTTTTATATTTGCCATTGCCTTCCAATTTCAATGGGTTTTCTATCTCTCGTAGTATTTATTAACCTCTGGTGGTCATTATTTCTCTCACTTTGTATCTCTATTTATATTTGAACTATCTCGTAATGTTAATTTCTTCTTCTTATCATTGTTCTTCCCACTTTCTTCCTTTGTCTACCTCTTTTTATTTAAATCTTTCTTTACATAACTATCTCGTTGTGTTAAATTCTTCTTGTCCTTGTTCCTTTACTCTTTCTCATTATTCACCATCTATCCATCTTTTTTTAGAGAGTATTTTATTTATGGCATAGTACATGAAGTGAATACATAGAATGTACTTTTTACTAAAAAATCACTTCGGTCGTGCCAAATCTATGATTATAATAATTATTCATAATTGTGTAATATATATATATATATATATGAAATTATTGAGATCTAGGTAGATAAAATGTCTAAAATTATTAACAAAATTTTATTGACACCTTGTCTGTTGTTTTCAAAAGGTTTTATGGAGATGAACGTTTTTGGATATCATTTCGTTCAGAAATATTAAACGTAAACAAGGGTACTCCTAGTACATAGGCTATTTCAAGGTTGACTAGTTAAATTTTGAACCTTTGTGAAGTTTTATAAGTAATTTAATTTCCTTTCAGTCTTTATAAGTACAAAATCTTGATTTTACAAATATCCTTTTTAAGTACAGTCGACAGCTCACTCTGCTTTAATTTAAATTTTTGATATCAGGGCTTTGGACGTAGTATAACAAGAAAAGTAATCCATCTCCCGAATGTTCAGCGCGTCTACACGTCACACGTCACTATGTTCATGCGGAACATAGGGTGTCACATTATATTTTTTTACATTGTGAACATAATTTCAAAGTTAAGGAATTGATCACAGCATTCTCGTGCTATATTGACATAAGCTTTGTGAAATACAATACTAGCGGATTAGTTTCACGATGGGAGTATGTTCATCAAATGGAAATGAAATGCGAGTTTGTATGCTATGTATATACATAACGTTACAAATAATAAATTAATAAATTTGACACTGAAAAATATTTCAAATATGTTAAAATCGAACGAATCCTTCAACACGTAAATGACGTGTACGAACTTCGCTGTTCAACTCGAGTGCACTGCGAGATTATGCGAATGTGTGCGTCCGTATAAGCCGCGCGATTGGCGTGCACACATAAGCCGCACACTGCTGTGTTTGCACGGAGTTAGGGAGTCATTATACTTATTAACGCAGAACCTCTTTAAACCGGTCAGAAAAAGCATTGTGTCCAGGAACGTAAGAGCGAAAAAGATTTGCGTTTTGCAATCGACACACAAACGGCCGCGTCGATGCCCGAACGGTAGCGTTGGAATCCGAATGGCCGCGGAAATTCCCTATTGCTGGGTTTCTTAACCTGTGTTCTATGGACCCCTAACGGGTCCTACATGTTGTGGTTAAATCGGTATTGTAGGTTTAGTACTGCCACCATACTATTTCTGCCGCCAAGCAGTAATGTCAGCATAACTGCGTTCCGGTTTTGAAGGGTAAAGGTTCTGGTGAAATTACAGGCACATGGGACTTGTGAACTTATGTCTCAGGGTGACGGGCGCAGTGGTACTGCCTCTCAGATAATTGCAATTTAAAGCGCTGAGTGGCACTGTAACTGTTATGGACAGGCGTGTAGCTTACCATCAGGCGCACGACTTGTTCGTCCCGTCACTTGATGTTATAAAAAAAAGGTACTGTGCGCGTGACCTTATTGAATTTTCGCACCCGAGTGACGAGCGAGCGAGACGCTCGCCAATGCAACCCGCCAGCCTTTTTTCTTTATCTTTTCGGAAAAGCGTTTTGAAATGTTATGAGGGGCCCATGACTAGAAAAAGGTTGAGAAAACCTGCTCTAGTGTGAGGCTTAATGTGACAAGAGTGGTTAAACACGATCGCATCAAGATAACTCCGCCATCCTTAGCCTTATTATACTTTGATTTGGACTCTAC